CCAAAGCCATCGGAGGGGCCTCGGTGCCCGCTGCAGCTCACGGTTTTCTTTGGGGAAACTGAAGCACAGAGGAGGAGGGACAATGAGGTCGTTGAACTGATGCAGCAAGGCAGAAGCAGAGCCAGGAAGGGGACTGGGGGAGTCCCAAGACCCTTTCTGAAGCAGGAGCTGGGCTGGAGGAGGGCGGGCGAGCGGAGCTGCCCAGGCCCCTGTCCATCCCTCCCAAACCCCCAGCGCAGCCAGGCGGCAGGGTGTTTTCTAACCCAGGAGCCCCACAGGAGGCAGAGTTACCCTGCTCCTCCCAGCTCTCTTCAAACCAGCCCCACGCCCTGGCTGGGGTCTCTTTCAGGGAAGGGACGGGGGATGCCGCCCCCAAACCCACCTTCCTCCAGGCAAAGGGAGGCAAAAATTGGCCCCTCTAGAGCTGGCCCTCCTTAAATTTAATTTTAAAAGAGTCTGTCCCTCGCTCTCTGGCCAGGAATGGAGGATGATGACGGGGGATGCCTGGACATGGCTCATCCCTGCGCAGCCTCAGGGACGGACCTTGCGGGAGGGTGGGAACACCCCCAGCAAGCCTGGAGCTGGGGCTTTCCTGGCAGCCATGGCCATCCATCCCCTCCTCTGCCCACATCGCCCTCCTGGACGCTGCCGGCCCCAGGGGAAGGAATTCAGCCGGACCCGAGCTGTGCCAGGAGCACTGAGCCGCAGCTGGCAGGAGCTGAGGGTCTGGCCCCGTGTCTCCAGGGCTCCTCTGCGGTTCCTACCCAAAGAGGAGTCCTGGAGAGAGGCGGCATCAGTCCGGAGCATCCCGGCGCAGCTGCTGGCTGGAGGTTTTGGGGAAGCCGCGGTCATTTGCTGCGGCTCCCAGCCCCCCGGCACAGGGCTTCGGTCTGAAGGCTCGGGCACGCTTCGGGGGGGGTACCAGATTTTACGAGGAGTTTTCAGGGCTCTGAGTGTCTCTGCTTCTGCCTTGCTGCAGCCTGCCAGCTCCGTGCACAGGGCTCGGTGGCGACAGGCAGCCCCAACAGTGCAGGGAAGGCTGGGGATGAGCTGCCAAATCTTCACCATGACAAAACCAGGGCAGAGTCAGACCACAGCTTGGATTTTTAGGAGACTTAAAGGGGAGATTGAGGCCTCGGAAAACTAACATTCACAACCAGACGTGTACTCTGGCAAGCCAGGCATGCAGCGGCACAGGATGGAAAAGGCCAGCGAGGCTCTACACTGGGGCTCTACAGGTGAAGCATCGCCAACCAAGCGCCTACATGGAGGCTTTTAGCGGGACAAGTTAAAAATAAACACGTTACAAAACTCAAGAGCGGTGCGAAACGGGAGGGGACCGCTTTACCGGCTTGGTTCATGCCCAGAATAACCTATTCAAAGAGAGTCCTGCACTCCAGAGGGTTAAAGGCTCATTAATTGCATACCTCCTACTGTTAACACTCTCAGCCGCTCCTTGAACACTGCGAGATCTGGGGCGGGCAGGGACAGGGGTGCAGAAAGGGAGAGGATAGAGAGACGCAGTCAAAGTTAGTAAAAAAAAAACCTGGAACCATGAAAACTAGTCATGGAAAGCACAAGTGAAAAAACACAGTCTTTAAAATACAGTCAAAAACCACCAGAGGCAAAAGGGTCGGGATGGAGGATGACTACAAAAGAAATCCCGGTGGAAAATTTGGCAAGAGGAGGGAGGAGCAGGGAGGGGGACAGGCATCAGACACTGGGGAGCAGTTGCGCTGCATGGTTTGAGATCTCCTCTCGCGTGCACACCTCGGACCGGTGGCACGCGTCTGCGCCCGCCGCGACCCAGAGCATCCTCCCATCCAACTGCACCAAGGGCTGCGGAGCAGGGACCCGCCTCCCACCCGCAGCTGCGCCCGGAGGGTTTTGCTCTGCTCCTGGCTACCGGGAGGATTTCAAGGTCACCCCAAGAAGGCACCAACCGCTGCTGCCTGCTGCAGGCAGGAGGGGATCCACCGGGGTGCGAACAAGAAGGCCGTTAATGAGGAAGACTAATGGTGAGGCAGGCACGCACAAGACCATCATTGCTCGAGGATGCTTGGCGTGGGCAGGAGCGCTGGGATGCTGTGCCGGACACCAGCAAGGATGCCGGGATGTTGTGCCGGACACAGGCAGGGATGCCGGGATGCCATGCTGGACTCAGGCAGGGATGCCGCGATGCCAGGATGCCAT